GCTGTGTGTTCATGGAGCATGGGGCACGTTCTTTAACGTTAATACATCCCCTCTCGCGTCTCAAGTGTAGGGCGATTTGAAAAAGCTTCGGCGAGGTTCTCGTGCTATAACACGGAGTATGGGGTGGCTTAAGTGCCGTTTGGTTCCCCATTTTCCATCGTCCTGCACTGTAATTACTTTATGAATATATCTCTTACTATATTTATTTTATTGCAGTTTAAAGATGAAAAAGTGGATAAAGGTCTCTGGTGGAAGATTGAGAATATGCAAGGCTCAATTCTGATCAAGAATAAACGGGTAAGAAAATTATATACGATTTTTATTTATGAGTAATTCAACTGACAACATATTTGTTTTGCATAATAGATTGGAATCAAACGAAAGGTCGATTTACTCTCGGTCGATATTTTTGATAAGTCTACAACTCATCAAGGAAACAAAATTATGAGACTTTATAACAATGATAGCCAAAGAGATTTTAATAATAATGATACTGATTTTTCTGATGACGAAGATGAAAATATTCAAGATAACTCAGAGGAGACTATTACTGGCGTTTTAAGTTTATCTAATGAGGTAATTTATAGTATACATCATATTATTAATATTAAAGTTAGATCTTGAATGAATGAATAGAAATATTATTTTACAAGAACAAGTCGAGTATACTAGAAAACCTGGAGAATCGTTTGGCTACTACATACAAGGTGGTTTCTCTGTTCGATAGACAATTTCCGTACACGAAAGAACTTTACAATACGTTTCCTGATCAAATAAAAATATTGGAGAATGAATGGGAAAAGGTAATGCAGTTTTTAGATTAGATAAATTAGGTAATTATAAATTATTTATTTATAATTATTGACTAGGCTGAAGTTACTATTCAAAAAACAATTGAAGAAGGATGGGAAGTATCTAGAGCGAAAAAACTTGTAGATAAGTATTATGAAGCAATTGTAAGCCATTTTGATGAAACTTCGGATGCCGATCATGAAATGCTTATTACGGTATTCAGTGAGCCTCCCTTTAGTGACTTCTCTTATAGACGTGATGCTGAATTAATTTGGTGTCAGAGAACAATTACAAATTTGTAAGTTTTTACATACGTGCTATATATATTTATATATATTAAGCGATTATGTTATATTTCCATGCTAGGATTTGCCAGTTTTTACGCAATAGAAGCTCTCTATTTAATAACGAAGCCTCTGAACATTGCTATCGTTCAGAAATTGTAAATCCTTTGCTTACGGGAACATTTGAAATGATTGAACGTTCTGTATGGCTTGAAATTGGAGAAATTGAGAATGAAATACAAAAGATGCAACGAAATGATACCAAGAAAGACAATGAGCGATCAAAACTCGGAATGAAACATGATGGTGTAATTAACATGATAATACATGGCAAAAAATATCAAATCGGTTTTCTTGAGGTAGTAGGAAATGCCTTTAATAATGACATAGCGGATAGGAATAGTGACTTAGAGAAATTATATAAAGGTTTGTGTTATTATCATATACTATTTAGTTCATATAAATGCTTACCAGTTGTATTTGTATAATCATAGCCATGTCATTGTCATTGTGGAACCAACGTACACATCTATATAATGAGACCTTGCAATTTTCAGCTTTTGCTATACTAGTTCATGGTAACTATAGACATGAGCCTTGTATTTGTCCTTAATAATAATTAATTGGTTTAATCAATCGAATAGGGAAAACTTTTAATTTCTTAAGCATGAATTATATTAATGATGAGTTTGTGGTTAAAAATTATGCCGATTTTATTCTACCAACAACAAATGAATGCCTGTTAAGAGTTCCAAAAATATTAGAAACAGTTATTAAATTCAAGGTAATTTTATTATTATTATTTTGAATATAAATGTTATACATAACTTATTATTTTTGTTAGATAAGAATCGTAAAGTATTATCGGGAACATTTGAAAAGTCACCATAAAGTGGTGTGTTCTCCAAGCAATAGTCCACCTGAAGCTTCACCGAATAATAAAGTACTTCGGAATACTTTTCGGACTAATATAAATTCACCTGAAGTTTCACCGATTCAAAAGAGTGCTCAGACTAATATAATTCCACCTGATGCTTTGATGAATGATAAAGTACTGAGGACTAATATAAACTCATCTGAAGCTTTGACAAATTGTAGAGTGCTTCGAAGATCTTCTCGGATTAATCTAACACCTGCTGATGTAAACTAGGGTACGCAATAAAGTAATAAGCGTAGTAAACTGATAGTAATAAAATAATTGATAGTAATAAATTTGATTTTCTGGTTTAAGTCTTGACATGATTGTATTCAAAGAGTGTAGAAAATAAATTTTAGCGCGTATTAATGCTTTAAAAATTTGGCTTAATAAATAGAAATCAATTTCTGAATTGAAATATAATTTCGAATATATCTTTGTAATTCTGTCTTGAGCATTTGTTGAATCGAAATTCTTGGCAAATTTCAGCTGGGGCCCGGCCAAAAACACATGATTTTTTTTTCTTTTGAATGCTTATACAGTATGCTGTGTATTAGTTATATATATAGATCATGTCATCAGAGCTTGAATTATTGAGACAGCGTATTAGTGAACTTGAAGCTAAGAACGCCAAGCTTGAGACTGAGAAAAGGAAATTAGCCGAGAATGAGTCCGAGAAAGTTGAGCTTAATAGAAGGATTGCTGAGGTTCTAAGACAGGCTGTGGAAGAGAATAAATGGCGTGATGCTGAGAATGCCGAACTCAACGCTAGAATCGAAGAACTAGAGAAAAATAAGACAG